CATACATACATACATACATACATACATACATATATATTATATATTATATATATATATATATATATATACTCAACTTCACATGCTCTCCTAACAGTTGGACTCGGGCTGCTACGCCGCACAACAGTACATTCTAAAGGAAGTGCCCATCACATGTCCTGAGGCTTATATCAAGTTGGGCATCTGCCCTACGGTAAGTCCGTGTGCCACATTTTGGTTGGTGCAAGTGTTGTCATATGTCTTTTCGGACTGCTGTTTGCAATGATTGTCGGGTTTGAATGCGCGAATTAACCCAAACCCATGATCGATTCGCCAACAGCGTTCATTTATATTTGAATCTCAATAGGACTCGCACATACACACACCTCTATGGCAAACGGCTATAGTGACGAAGACACACTATACGCTCTAATATAGATAAATACACATACTATACTGTGGGATGGATCAATGCACTTATATCACACCTATGTTATCGTGTGTATATGTGCGTACAAACATATAGGGTGTGCTCAAGAAGGACCTGAACTTTGACATGCCCGAAATGGCGTGCGAAACCACCGAATCAACTGATGTGCTGATCCGCTCAGTGGACTTCTACACCACGGCCGACACTGATCAGAGAGACGCAACCGCACCATACATTGTGGGCGAGTCTATGATTGTGCATGTTCCAGTGGAAACACTCAGGTAGGTAGGGGTGGCTGTGTAGGAGTTGGTATGTGTATGCATAGGTGTATATGCATATTTGCGTTTATAATAATAATATATATATATATATATATATATATATATCAATATCTATCTATCTATCTATCTATGTCTATATCCATATCCATATCCATATCCATGTCCATGTCCATGTCCATATCCATATCCATATCCATATCCATATCCATATCCATATCCATATCCATATCCATATCCATATCCATATCCATATCCATATCCATATCCGTATCCATATCCGTATACATATCCGTATACATATACATATACATATACATATACATATACATATACATATACATATACATATACATATGCATATACATATACATATACATATACATATACATATACATATACAGATACAG